GATATGATAAATATAATTGCATAATAGTGTTTTCATGTTTTCCACTACAGTTGATCTGTTATCAGTCACATTGGTCAACTGCTCTATTGTTGCATACTCTATTCAAAAAGGACAATTTCACAGCTTTTTGGGAGTCTGGTTGTCCAGATGCCTGTGGTCAGCAATCTCTGCAACGCCTCCCTCAGAAAGTCAAACACCCCTCCTCGCTAATTCAGACTTACATTACAGAATTTCTTAATTTTTTTAGTTTTTTCGACACTAGTGGCTCATTTTTCTGACAGAAGGCTGACAGAAAACGGGGTATGACATATGAGGGGGGGGGGAGAGACATGCGGCAAACAACCACAGGTCGTTTTTGAACCCGGGTCGGCCACGTTAAGGACCAAGGCCTCCGTACATGGGTCGCCCGCACTATTCACTGCGCCACATGCACGCACCGGATTACACAATTATTGACTATTTTGACATTCATTCATTCTTTTGCTCATTGATATTATTACTGTTTATATATATGTGTGCGTATATATGTGTGAGATTTTGGGAGTGAATTGGAGCATAATCAGAAATTGACGGTTCAACCTGTGTGGTCAGATAAAGGACACATAGTTTTTTTTTAGGAACTTGGATAATATATAGAAATCCATATTGCAAAGAAATCTTCAGTGTGGTTACTTTGTTCTCCTCCTCGCAGTGCACACTCACTCCCCCACCATAAAATACTGTCCTCTTCTCCTATCAGTGCCCTCCACCTTAACATACACCCCCCACCCCTCAGGCAACAACAGAGCAGGAATTGATTAGTGCTATGGCTTAAAATAGATGACTGGTTGTCATAGCAACATTCACCATCATCTGTTGTCCAATGAAATAAAGAATTGACTGTGCATTTTATGAAATGTGTCGCTTTGTGAACTGAATCTGCAGGCATCGTGTGTGTTTGGGTGCAAGTATCCCAGCCGGTTTACGCTCGTCACGTCACATCGATGTCACCATTTTGAAGAACTTCATTCAAAAATGCTTTGTTGTTCTCTGAAGGAAATGAAATGTTTAATGTTTATCTATATAGCAGCTTTCATAGACAGAGGTCACAAAGTGATTCACAAAATTAAAATACAAGGTTGGAGCATGTTCAAACGTTCCCAGCGTATCCCAGCGTATGCAATATGTTGGCCAGAAGTTCCAGGTCAGTTATCTGATCGTTGACATACTTTAAGTGTAAGTTACTCATAAGTCGTGGCGTCTAGCTTATCTAGAAACTATGCATAACGTAAGAGTTCACAGTAGGGGTGGGTATTGGCAAGAAGTCATGATTCGATTCCAATCACGATTCACGTGCCATGATGCGATTCTATCACCATGCATCACGACACTTGAAATATTGCGATGCATCACGATGCATTGCGATATTTTCATTGAACACTGTAAGAAAATGATACAGCCATTACCAGTGGCTGACTGGCTGGGTGTGATCTGGATCGTGTCTTCAATTGATGCATAACTGAAAGAAACTGAATTCATACATGGCTGCATTTATTGAAACGACTTTTGGAGGTGTTGCCATGAAAAAAAATACTGGATACAAATATTACTATTACTGGTATGGACACACTGACAGATCTTAGGATTCATCAA